AATTCAAATATAGGGCCTTATTAGGAACTATTTCAAATTAGGGCCGGTCTTGTTAGGGACTATCTCAAACTAGAGCCTTATTAGTGATTATCTTTGGATTGGACAAGAAATCCCCTTATGAAGGCCACAAGGGGTAGGTACGTGGGGGGGGGGTAGCATATATATATATATCTGTATATGTACATGCATGCTCTCAAAGTTTTGGTTGTAGGCCTTCAAGATCTTACGCAAAACTTGCATAAGGGCTTCCCCAAAACAGTGCAAGTCAACATCACCTCTACAATCGCTGCCCATTACCATGAACAATGCCCAATACTTGGTTTAATGGGGTTCTGGTACGAGCATGTACCAGCAATTATGGTGCAGGTTTCGGGGACCTAAATGAGGCACAGTCAACATTTCCTACATAATTTCATGGACACGAGTTCCTTATTAGGGACGGTAATATTCGGGACGTTACTTCACTGCAAGAAGGACCCCTATCTCCACTGTTAGAGATCCCCTAATAAGGCCATTATCGACAGTAGCTCATATGATTCTGGGGTACTTGAACCCGTCGGTTGACAGATGCATAAACAGCATTGCTATCTCTCTGGCTCCTGCGACCTTTAAAGGAAGTCAAGCACCTCTCCTAATATGTAGAACCGCCTCCAAAAATCCAACAATATCCAGGGCTTATAATCCTCCATATTCTATCTACTTAAGGGGGGCTGCGAGGGTTTAGGGCGCTTTGGGCGGGCATGAACCAAGAAGGCCAACGCAGGCAAACAGAACATGATGAAGGAACATAGTAGCACTTGCCATGCACAAAGCGGAGTGTGAATGACGGCGCTAGTGACTCCCATTGCCTAAAACCTCAGGCCAGGACTGCTCTAAAAATCTTATCAAGCAGAAACGAGAAGTAGGCATCTTTCTTAAAGTATTTTGAGCTTGCCCCAAAAAGAACCACCTTGATTTTCATGCTGCTGACATTGAGCGACCTCCTGTCCAGTGATGATTCCCAGCAGGCCATAGATGCAGCTAAGACCAAAAAGAATGAGCTCGGCTGAGACCTTTGCTCGCTGGTTCTGAGTAGGGACTGGACAGAAATGGAAACTATAGGTTCCAGGACTTTGGGAGAAGAAAATGGTAACCACTAATTTCTTTCGGAATTACGCACGCAAAAGTAAAGATCCACTGACTAGTCTGAGCGGCCTGACCCTCAAGGAAAATGTCCACAAGTGACGGAGGTGGCAAAAGTGAGGACCCTCCATACATAGGGGACCTCCAAAATGTAAACCCGAAGATAATGTTGTCCCCATTACAGGGACTTCCCAAAATGGGCCTTCTCCTGAGAGCCCCTGAACTCTATCTGAACCTAATCCCTACAATATCCATAAAGCATCCCTATATAGCCCCCTCAAGCCGCTTTCAAGGGGCCTAAACCGTAAACCCTCAAGCCCATATAAACTTACCATTACT